TATTTACTGTTGTGTGAATTTCGTTGGAATTTTTTTTTTTTTTCAGACCATATTTCAACTGTTAGAAAATTTGTCATTGAAATTGTAAGAAATTCAAAAGACGTTCATTGAAAAACTAACTGCAGTGGCAGATTCAAAATAATTTTATGTTGGGGCACTATTTAATTAATAGAAAAAATATACAATCAAAATAACATAATGCCATTACAATTTATAAATTATGCTTTTCATAATTACACATCTTTTCCATATGTAATACTTTTTTTAACACATCAAAACAACCACAATAAGTTCAATAATAATTAAAAAAAAAACAATTTTTTTTATCATTTCAACATAAGAAAATCATCACATAATATATATATATATATATATATATATATATTTATATTCTAATTTTTTTTATGAACAAAATATTCATATTATAGTATAGTTGACTCGACAATATAATTGATGAATGTATAAAATTATGAATATGTAACTAGAACTCTACATACAATTACAAAAGACGTAAGAAATATATTTTAAATTTAGTTAAAAATTATGTTGCAAACGAGACAATGTATGCTATCATCAAGATTAAAAAGAAAAGCGAGATTGTAAAACTGATAACTATCATATTTTCTTTAGTTGTGATACCGAGTTTATGTTATAACTTTAATAATGTTATGAGCTGAATTAAATTATAATTGGATGAGTTATAAATTAATTCATTATGTATCTTTCTTTTTTTTTCATTTTACTTTCTAATAGGGGGCCTGATTAAAATTATGAAAAATTTTCCCATAATTTTTGTTCGATATGTTATGCTATATGTTTTGGGATGAGGCATGTGTCGTGACTATTGAATAAATATGGATTTTGCCTATTATTCCAACAAAATATCTTTGTTAGAATTTTCATTGAAAAATTCAAACAAGAGTAGTAAACTAAAATATTTGTTAGAATTATTGTTGAAATTCCACTGTAACATGTTTTTATTGGAATTTCATCATTTTGTTGTATTAAAAATATGGCACCAAGTCAAACTAAAATTTTTGCATCATATATAATATTGTGTGCAGTTAATTAAAATTGTTGATAATGATACAAAATATAACACATTCAATATAATTATCATTTAATTTATGATAATTAGTAGCTTATTAAAAAAGAAGATACATATAGGTTGAGAAGTTCTTAATTATTTTATTAGTATTATAATAACTAAACAAGGGATAAGAACGATGTTCTACGTAATAAAAAGGTAAGACTACACAATGAAAAATAATATAATTATTTCACTGATGTTTGATTTGACCAATGTATTGTAAATAAAATAAAAGTAATATAATTGTTTTTATCAATATAAAATATATATGTATATATTTACATACCAATGTAAAATAATAAATGGAATTAAATATATCTTATAAAATAAATTATAGATACATGTTAACTGAATGTTGTTAGTTATATTCATATTAAAAAAAAAGTGCAAATAGATGTTAACGTACAACTATTACCAACATTAGGTATGTGAATTAAAAGAAAAAATAAATAAATTATATGTTAAACTATAATTCAATTAATGCTTGAATGGAAACACCATAACAAATATATTATTACGATCAAACACATAAAAAAAAAATGCAATATATACATATAAATGTGCTCTAACTCTTTTAACAAATACAATATTAGTTATGAATAAAATAAAAAACAAATAAAACATTAGAAATGCAATGATCAAAATAAAAGATCTGAATTTTCTTATAAAAGTATGAATACCAATATCAAGAAACAAAAAATCATTTAAATTATTACTTTTTTTGTTGCTAGCATTTAAATATATGTCCTCTATAAGAAATTGTTTCTCATGAATACTGATTTCATACTATCATAACATAGACCATAAACTTTAATTATGACTTCATAATAATAAAGTTCACACATGATTAAGAGTATCATAATATAATAGAAATCAAATTATTCTCATCTAAAATATTTTGACAAATGATATGCTTCTCAATATTGTCTCACTCTTTTGTTTTCTTTTGTTTCGTTATTATTGAAGAATCAAGAAATGATTTTTATCTTGAATTTTTGAAGCATTATATATGTATCGATGCAAAAAGTTGGACAATAACTGCATTAAATAAGTTATTAGACACATAAATATTACAAATCCGAACGAATGTAAAAGGTACTATGATAAGCAACTCTAAAATTATTGCAACAACCAAAATGTTCAATGATTTACAAAAAGTAGGTTATGTAGTCCGTCTATCTTCCAAATAAATAACACTAGCTAGAAAGGGAATGTTTGATTTTGATCAAAATAATTTAATATTTGAATAAGTTGTCACTTTATTATAAGAATATTTACAATCTTGTATAGTGTGCTCGATCATATGCGCAATTACTTTAGTGTACGTACATTAATTTAAATGATTTCAAAAATAATTTAGCGTCTCCGGAGAAATACATGATTTCGGAAAGTCAACTTTTATTTAGAGATGAAATTCGTTTCCACCCCATGGGATAGGTACCACTTTGTCTATATGGGGAGAGAGAGAGAGAGAGAGAGA